GAGTAACTGTAGCTTCATAAAAGGAATTTGTCAATGCCTCTTCTGTTTCTATATTGTGAAATGCATTAAGGAGTATAGGTATTACGTCTTCTTGGAAGTTCTGGTAGAATTCCGCATTGAAACCATCTGGTCCTGGGCTTTTTTTGGTAGGGAGGTTTTTGATGACAGCTTCTAATTCTTCGCGACTAACAGGTCTATTTAGATTGTTCACCTGGTCCTGGTTTAACTTTGGTATATGGTATTTATCTAAACAAGTGTCCATTTCCTTTACATTTTCCAGTTTTGTGGCATATAGGCTTTTTTTTTGTAAGATCTAATGATTCTCTGAATTTCCTCTGTGTCTGTGGTTATGTCCCCCTTTTCATTTCTGATCTTATTAATTTGCAAATTCTCTCTCTGCCGTTTGATTAGTTTGGATAGGGGTTTGTCAATCTTATTGATTTTCTCCAGGAACCAGCTTTTTGTTTCATTGATTCTTTGGATTGTTTTCTGTGTTTCTATTTTGTTGATTTCAGCCCTCAGTTTGATTATTTCCAGTCTTCTACTCCTCCTAGGTGAGTCTGCTTCTTTTTTTTCTAGAGCTTTCAGGTGGGCTGTTAAGTCTCCAATGTGAGCTTTCTCTGTTTTCTTTAAGTGGGCACTTAGTGCTATGAACTTTCCTCTCAGGACTGCTTTCATAGTGTCCCATAAGTTCGAGTATGTTGTTTCTTTATTTTCATTGAATTCCAGGAAGACTTTAATTTCTTTCTTCATTTCTTCCTTAATGCAGGTATGGTTCCGTAGTTGACTGTTCAGTTTCCATGAGTTTGTAGGCTTTCTGGGGGTAGCATTGTTGTTGAATTCCAACTTTAATCCGTGGTGATCTGATAAGACACAGGTGGTTACTAATATTTTTTTGTAACTGGATGTTTGCTTTGTTACCGACTATGTGGTCAATTTTTGAGAAGGTTCCATGAGCTGCAGAGACGAAGGTATATTCTTTCCTATTTGGGTGGAATGTTCTATAGATGTCTGTTAAGTCCATTTGATTCATCACCTCCATTAATTCTCTTATTTCTCTGTTAGGTTTCTGTCTGATTGACCTGTCCATTGGTGAGAGAGGAGTGTTGAAGTCTCCTACTATAAGTGTGTGTGGTTTGATGGCTGCCTTGAGTTTTAGTAATGTTTCTTTTACGTACGTGGGTGCTTTTATATTAGGGGCATAGATGTTCAGGATTGAGACTTCATCCTGATGAACTAACTGTTCCTGTTATGAATATAAAGTGCCCCTCTCCATCTCTTCTGATTGATTTAAGTTTGAAGTCTACTTTTTTAGAGATTAGTATGGCCACACCTGCTTGTTTCTTAGGTCTATTTGCTTGATAAGCCTCTTCCTAGCCCTTTACTCTGAGTAGGTGCCTGTCTTTGTGGGTGAGGTGTGTTTCTTGTAAACAGCAGAATGTTGGATCCTGTTTTGGTATCCAATCTCTTAGCCCGTGCCTTTTAATATGTGAGTTGAGTCCATTGACATTAAGTGATATTAATGACCAGTGGTTGTTAACTCCGGTTACTTTTTTAGTAGTAGAGTTTGTGTGTTTCCCTTCTTTGATTTGTGTTGGTGAAGGGTCTCTAGATGTTTGAGTTATTGTGGACATTGTTGGACCTCTTGGTTAGTGATTTTCTTCTATTACTATCTGTAAGACTGGATTTGTGGCTGTGTATTGTTTAAATTTGTTTTTATCCTGGAAAATTTTATTTTCTCCATTTATAGTGAATGAAAGTTTGGCTGGGTATAGTAATCTGGGCTTGCATCCGTGGTCTCTCAGTTTCTGCAGTATATCTATCCAGGACCTTCTGGCTTTCATGGTTTCTATGGAGAAGTCAGGTGTAAGTCTGATAGGTTTACCTTTATAAGTAATTTGTCCTTTTTCCTTTGCAACTCTTAATATTCTTTCCTTATTCTGTATGCTTTGTGTTTTGATAATTATATGGCGAGGGGATGTTTTTTTTTGATCCAGCCTATTCGGTGTTCTGTATGCTTCTTGAACCTTCATAGGTATATCTTTCTTTAGGTTGGGAAAGTTTTCTTCTATAATTTTATTAAATATATTTTCTGGACCATTGAGCTGTACTTCTTCTCCTTCTTCTACTCCTATTATTCTTATGTTTGGTCTTTTTTTTGTGTCCCATATTTCCTGAATATTTTGTGATGAGAGTTTTGGACTTGCTGTTTTCTTTGATCAGTTCGTTTATTTTCTCTTTGGTATCTTCAAAATCTGAGATTCTTTCTTCTAATTCTTGTATTCTGTTGGTTATGCTTATTTCTGTAGACTCTGTTTTTTTACTTAAAATTTTCATGTCCAGCTGGCCCTCTGTTTGTGTTTTCTTCTTTGCCTCCATTTCAGTTTTCAAGTCTTGCACTGTTTCCATTATCTGTTTGATTGTTTTTCCTTGGTTTTCTAGGGTATCATGCACTGATTTATTCAATTCTTCAAACTTTCTGTTATATTTCTCATCCATTTCTATAAGGGCGTTTTTTACATGCTGTTTAAGGGCGTCAATCACTTTCATGAAGTCAATCTTTTCTACTTCTTCTTGATTAAGGTGTTCATGTCCTCCTGTTATGAGGTCTCTGGTTTCTGGTGGCTTCATGTTGCTTTTCAGCTTGTTGGGCGAATTCTTGCCTTGGCGTTTGCCCATCTCTTCTTCCAAATGCTCCCTTATGGATCTTCTTTACTGGATCAGGTCTCCTTGCCTACCCAACGCTCGCTCTCCCCAGCGTTGTCTCTCCTGGTGCTGAGAGATCAGGTCTCCATGCTGGTTGGCCAGCTCACAAACAAAGTGCCTACCCTGCTTGGTGCAGGCAGGCCATAGAAACAAAGGGACTCCCGCCTTCTTGGGTGCCCCGAGGATTCGGACCCAGTGTCCAGACAGGCTGGGCTGGGTGCTGTTATATGCCGAAAGAGGGTGGTGGGGCCGAAGTGGGGAGGGTTCTGGATGGAAGCTGGGTGGGCTAGGAAGAAAGGGGTGGTATGCAGGGAGTGGAGGCCCTGCAGAGAGCTCAAGATGGATAGGGGTCCAAGGAACCTCTGAGCTCCCCTTCCCAGGCTGGCGCCAAGGGGCCAGAAACTCGCCCCAACGCTGGGTCTCCTGGCGCCGAGAGATCAGGCCTCCGTGCTGGTGGGCAGGTCGCAAACAAAGCTCCTACCCTGCTTGGTGCAGGCAGACCATAGAAACAAGGGGACTCCCGCCCACTTGGGTGCCCCGAGGATTCGGACCCAGTGCCCAGACAGGCTGGGTTGGGTGATGTTATGTGCCAAAAGAGGGCCTTCTCTTCCATTTTTTAAGGGAGCTTTTCACATCCTGCTTAAGGGGCTCCATTATTTTCATCAGGTTACGTTTAAAGTTGATTTCTTCTACTTCTTTTGGGTTAGGGTGTTCTAGTCTTCCTGTTACATGATCTCTGGATTTTAGTGTTATCATGTTGTTTTTCTGGTTGTTGGAAGAATTCTTGCATTGACACATCCCTATCTCTTCCTTCAAAAGTGGCCAGGAGAGTCTTGGCATCTTGGTCTAATCTTTGCTGTGGTTGACTGTGTACTTGGGGGTTTTTCTTGGTCTGCCCTCTCCTAGGTCTCCCAGCACTGGAGCTGGCTCTCAGGTCCCCTCTTCCCTGAAGCAGGCTGTGCTGGTGGTTCTAAGGACCCCACAGATGAAAAGGAGTGCTTGGGGGCAAGATGGGATGAGGTAAATAAAGCCAGTAGCTGGGCAGATGCCCCGCTGTATGGCCAGAAACATTTAGGTAATTGGAGGGGGCCTGTACTCCATTCCAGGGACCATCTGTCAGGGTAGCCACACACTCACCACTCTGGATGTGTCTCCTCAGTACAGGAGCAGGGCCTCTTGATGGGCCAAGGTCCTCACAGACAAAAGGGAAGGCTTGGGGTGGCAGTGTCATGTGGAAAAAAGGAGCTCCTGAGGCAGGAGCACTCACCACTGGCTCCCCAGATTTGAGGGATCCAAGGCTCCCACTGATAGAGAGGAGTGTTTGGGGGCAAGGTGGGATGGGGTAAATAGAGAAAGACAGTGGCTGGGGAGATGCCCCACTGGCTGGCCAGAACTGTACTCTGTGTCTTTAAAGATTTTACCCTTTTTAATCCCAGCACTCAGGAGGCAGAAGCAGGTAGATCTCTGCGAGTTTGAGGCCTGCCTAATCTACAAGAGCTAGTTCCAGGACAAGCTCCAAAGCAACACATAGATAGAAGGTCCTCCCACACCAGATGCTCAATTGTGTCACAAGGACATGTGCTTAACTATGCTCATAGCAGTATTGTTTGTCATAGCCAGAACCTGGAAACAACCTAAGTACCCCTTGACCGAAGAATGGATAAGGAAAATGTGGTACATTTACACAATAGAGTACTACACAGCAGAAAAAAATGACATCTTGCAATTTGCAGGAAAATGGATGGAGCTAAAAAACATCCTATAGAGCGAGGTAACCTAGACCAAAAATGATAATTATCATATGTAATCACTCAAAAGTGGTTTTTAAACATAAAACAAAGAAAACCAGCCTATAAATCACAATCCCAGAGAACCTAGACAACAATGAGGACCCTAAGAGAGACATACATGGATCTAATCTACATGGCAGGTATAAAAGGACAAGATCTCATGAGTAAATTGGGAGCATGAGGACCTTGGGAGAGGGTTGAAGGGGAAGGGAGAGGCAGTGAGGGAAGTAAAAGAAGTATAATTCAATAAAAAATAAACAAATGAAAAAAACCAACAAAAATAAATATACACCAAAGATAAAAAAAAAGTAAAGGAAGTATATAGAGGAACTGTTGCTTAGCCCTGAGCTTTGGTGTTGAAATGTGTCAGCATCAAGTCTTGAGAAAGAGCATATCCACTTTCTGTATGTACTGGGTGTCCTCATCCTGACAGCATTCCGGGCTACAGTTTGTTCTATCCTGTAGTTGTGTCCCACTGTGCAGACTCTATCACCAGTTCCACGTGCTGTTTCTGTGGAGATCTGGCATGAGACACTGCCATGGTCCTTGGAGCTGCTCTTCCTGGACTTGGTAAGTGTGTCAGGGGTCATCATTTTTAGCTATCGTGGTAGTGAATACAGAGTCCCAGTTTTATAACCTGGGCTCCTCTCATAGAACTCTTCCTCTATGAAGACCTGGTCTAGTGGCTGCAGAGGAGTCTTCCTTGACATCAGCCTGCCCATCGGGACCTGGTGTTTTGATCTGAGCTCTGGGATCTGGGTCAGTTTATAACAGGACAGATTTCCCTCATCAGTCTTTTGCTCTATTTTCAGTGTTTTTAATGTTGCAGAGGACCTGGGCACAGTATGGTGAGTCTGTTCTCTGTTTTTGCCCTGGGGAACTAAGTTGGCTGGGCGTAGCATGGGAGGAGCTTGAAGCATCTTGTGCAGATCCTGAGATGGAATTTTTTTTTCTTTTTTGTTTTTATTGAGAAAAGAAGAAAAAAAAACATAAACAAAAAACAAGTTTCCACCTCCTCCCAGCCTCCCATTTCCCTCCCCCTCCTCCCACCCTTCTCCCCCTCCTCCCACCCTTCTCCCCCTCACCCCACTCCTCTCCCCCTCCCTCTCCAGTCCACAGAGCAGTCCGGGTTCCCTGCCCTGTGGTAAGTCCTAGGTCCTCCCCCCTCAATCCATATCTAGGAAGGTGAACATCCAAACTGGCTAGGCTCCCACAAAGCCAGCACATTAAGTAGGGTCAAAACCCCGTGCCATTGTCCTTGATGTCTCATCAGCCCTCATTATTCGCCATGTTCAGAGTCCAGTTTTATCCCATGCTTTTTCGGTCACAGTCCAGCTGGCCTTGGTGAGCTCCCAGTAGATCAGCTCCACTGTCTCAGTGGGTGGGTGCTCCCCTCGTGGTCCCGACTTCTTTGTTCATGTTCTCCCTCCTTCTGCTCCTCATTGGGACCTTGGGAGCTCAGTCCAGTGCTCCTGTGTGGTCTCTGTCTCTATCTCTATCCATCACCAGATGAAGATTCTATGATGATATGCAAGATATTCGTCAGTATTGCTCTAGGATAGGGTCATTTCAGGTTCCCAATCCTCAGCTGCCTAAGGAACTAACTGGGAACCTCATCTTGGGCACTTGGGAGCCCCTCTAGGGTCAAGTCTCTTGCCCACCCTAAAGTGGCTCCCTTAACTAAGAATTGTGGTTCCGTGCTCCCCTATCCACCTTTCCTTTATCCCAATTCTCCTGTTTCCCCAGGTCCCCCCTCCTTTCCTTCTACCTTTTCTCTCCCCATCTCCCCTTACCCCCATCCCACCCCACCCCCAAGATCGCATTTTCTCCCTGGCAATTTGGTCTACTTCCCTTAGCCAAAGGATAACTATATGTTTTTCCTTGGGTTCACCTTCTTACTTAGCTTCTTGAGGTTCACCTATTGTAGACTCCGTGACCCTTATTGATGGCTAGAAACCAATTATGAGCGAGTACATCCCATGTTCATCTTTTTGGGTCTGGGACACCTCACTCAGGATAGTGTTTTCTATTTCCATCCATTTGCATGCAAAATTCGAGAAGTCATTGTTTTTTACCACAGCGTAGTATTCTAGCGTGTATATATTCCATACTTTCTTCATCCATTCTTCCATTGAAGGGCATCTAGGTTGTTTCCAGGTTCTGGCTATTACAAATAATACTGCTATGAACATAGTTGAACAAATGCTTTTGTCATATGATAGAGCATCTCTTGGGTATATTCCCAGGAGTGGTATTGCTGGGTCCTGGGGTAAGTTGATCCTGAATTTCCTGAGAAACCGAAACACTGACTTCCACAGTGGTTGCACAAGATTGCATTCCCACCAGCAATGGATGAGGGTACCCGTTCCTCCACAGCCTCTCCAGCAAATGTTGTCCTTGGTTTTTTTGACTTTAGCCATTCTGACAGGTGTAAGATGATATCTCAAAGTTGTTTTGATTTGCGTTTCCCTGATTGCTAAGGAAGTTGAGCATGACCTTAAGTGTCTTTTGGCCATTTGAACTTCTTCTGTTGAGAATTCTCTGTTCAGTTCAGTGCCCATTTTTTAATTGGGTTAATTAGCATTTTAAAGTCTAGTTTCTTGAGTTCTCTATATATTTTGGAGATCAGACCTTTGTCTGTTGGGGGGTTGGTGAAGATCTTCTCCCAGTCAGTAGGTTGCCTTTGTGTCTTAGTGACCATGTCCTTTGCTTTACAGAAGCTTCTCAGTCTCAGGAGGTCCCATTTATTCAATGTTTCCCTTAATGTCTCTGCTGTTGGGGTTACACATAGGAAGCGATCTCCTGTGCCCATCTCCTGTAGGGTACTTCCCACTTTCTCTTCTATCAGGTTCAGTGTGTTCGGGCTGATATTGAGGTCTTTAATCCATTTGGACTTGAGTTTTGTGCACGGTGATAGATATGGGTCTCTTTTCATTCTTCTACAGGTTGACATCCAGTTATGCCAGCACCATTTGTTGAAGATGCTTTCTTTCTTCCATTGTATACTTTTGGCTCCTTTATCAAAAATGAGCTGTTCATAGGTTTGTGGGTGAAAATTCGGGTCTTCTATACGATTCGATTGGTCGACTTCTCTGTTTTTATGCCAGTACCACACTGTTTTCATTACTGTAGCTCTGTAATAGAGTTTGAAGTCAGAGATGGTAATGCCTCCAGACAATCCTTTATTGTATAGGATTGTTTTGGCTATCCTGGGTTTTTTGTTTTTCCATATAAAGTTGATTATTGTCCTCTCATGATCTGTGAAGAATTTTGATGGGATCCTGATGGGATTGCATTGAATCTATAAATTGCCTTTGGTAGAATTGCCATTTTTATTATGTTGATCCTCCCAATCCAAGAGCAAGGGAGATCCATCCATTTTTTGGTATCCTCTTCAACTTCTTTCTTCAATGCCTTAAAGTTCTTGTCAAATAGATCTTTCACTTCCTTGGTTAGATTTACCCCAAGATATTTTATGCTGTTTGTGGCTATCGTGAAAGGTGAAGCTTCTCTGATTTCCCTCTCTGCTTCCATATCCTTTGTGTATAAGAGGGCGACTGATTTTTGGAGTTGATCTTGTATCCTGCCACATTACTAAGCTGTTTATCAGCTGTATAAGTTCTTTGGTGGAGTTTTGGTGGTCGCTTATGTACACTATCATATCATCTGCAAATAACGAAAGTTTAACTTCTTCCTTTCCAATTCGAATCCCCTTGATCCCCTTATGTTTTCTTATTGCTATTGCTAGAACTTCAAGTACTATATTGAAGAGGTATGGCGAGAGTGGACAGCCTTGCCGTGTTCCTGAGTTATGCTGGATGTCTTTGAGTTTCTCTCCGTTTAATTTGATGTTAGCTGTCGGCTTGCTGTATATAGCTTTTATTATATTTATGTATGACCCTTGTATCCCTAATCTCTCCAAGACTTTTAATATAAATGGATGTTGAATTTTGTCAAATGCTTTTTCAGCATCTAATGAAATGATCATAAGGTTTTTTTCTTTCAGTTTATTTATATGCTGGATTACATTGATAGATTTTCGTATGTTGAACCAGCCCTGCATCTGAGGAATGAAGCCTACTTGATCATAATGGATAATTTTTAGGATCTGTTCTTGGATTTGATTTGCCAGTATTTTGTTGAGGATTTTTGCGTCGCTATTCATGAGTGAGATTCGCCTGTAGTTTTCTTTCCTGGTTGAGTCTTTGAGTGGTTTTGGTATCAGAGTAATTGTGGCTTCATAAAAGGAATTTGGTAGTGACCCTTCTGTTTCTATATTGTGGAATACATTAAGGAGTATAGGTATTAGGTCTTCTTGGATGTTCTGGTAGAATTCTGCATTGAAACCATCTTGTCCTGGGCTTTTTTTGGTAGGGAGGTTTTTGATAACAGCTTCTAATTCTTCGCGACTGACAGGTCTGTTTAGATTGTTCACCTGGTCCTGGTAATTTTTGGTCAATGGTATTTATCTAAAAAAGTGTCCATTTCTTTTACATTTTCCAGTTTGTGGCATACAGGCTTTTGTAGTAAGATCAATGACTCTCTGAATTTCCTGTGTGTCTGTGGTTATGTCCCCCTTTTCATTTCTGATCTTATTAATTTGTGTGTTCTCTCTCTGTCGTTTGATTAGTTTGGATAGGGGTTTATCAATCTTGTTGGTTTTCTCCAGGAACCAGATTTTTGTTTCATTGATTCTTTGGATTGTTTACTGTGTTTCTATTTTGTTGATTTCAGCCCTCAGTTTGATTATTTCCAGTCTTCTACTCCTCCTAGGTGAGTCTGCTTCTTTTTTTCTAGAGCTTTCAAATGGGCTGTTAAGTCTCCAATATGTGCTTTCTTTGTTTTCTTTAGGTGGGCACTTAGTGCTATGAACTTTCCTCTCAGGACTGCTTTCATAGTGTCCCATAAGTTCGAGTATGTTGTTTCTTTATTTTCATTGAATTCAAGGAAGACTTTAATTTCTTTCTTTATTTCTTCCTTAATGCAGGTATGGTTCCGTAGTTGACTGTTCAGTTTCCATGAGTTTGTAGGCTTTCTGGGGGTAGCATTGTTGTTGAATTCTAACTTTAATCCATGGTGATCTGATAAGACACAGGTGGTTACTAATATTTTTTTGTAACTGTGTAAGTTAGCTTTGTTACCGAGTATGTGGTCAATTTTCGAGACGGTTCCATGAGCTGCAGAGAAGAAGGTATATTCTTTCCTCTTTGGGTGGAATAATCTATAGATGTCTGTTAAGTCCATTTGCTTCATTACCTCCATTAATTCTCTAATTTCTCTGTTAGGTTTCTGTCTGATTAACCTGTCCATTGGTGAGAGAGGAGTGTTGAAGTCTCCTATTATTAGTGTGTGCTGTTTGATGGCTGCCTTGAGTTTTAGTAATGTTTCTTTTACGTACGTGGGTGCTTTTATATTAGGGGCATAGATATTCAGGATTGAGACTTCTTCCTGTTGAATTGTTCCTGTTATGAGTATAAAATACCCCTCTCCATCTCTTCTGATTGATTTAATTTTGAAGTCAGCTTTGTTAGAAATTAGTATGGCCACACCTGCTTGTTTCTTAGGTCCATCTGCTTGATAAGCCTTTTCCCAGCCCTTTAATCTGAGTAGGTGACTGTCTTTGTGGTTGAGGTGTGTTTCTTGTAGACAGCAGAATGTTGGATCCTGTTTTCTTATCCAATCTCTTAGCCTGTGCCTTTTTATAGGTTAGTTGAGCCCATTGATATTAAGTGATATTAATGACCAGTGGTTGTTAACTCCGGTCACTTTTTTAGTAGTAGGGTTTGTGTGTTTTCCTTCTTTGATTTGCGCTTGTGAAGGGTCTCTAGATTTCTGAGTTATTGTGGTCATTGTTGGACTCCTTGGTTAGTGATTTTCCTTCTATTATTTTCTGTAAGGCTGGATTTGTGGCTACGTATTGTTTAAATTTGTTTTTATCCTGGAAAATTTTGTTTTTACCATTTATAGGGAATGAAAGTTTGGCAGGATATAGTAGTCTGGGATTGCATCCGTGGTCTCTTAGTTTTTGGAGTACATCTATCCAGGACCTTCTGGCTTTCATGGTTTCCATAGAGAAGTCCGGTGTAAGTCTGATAGGTTTACCTTTATAAGTAACTTGGCCATTTTCCTTTGCGGCTCTTAATATTCTTTCTTTATTCTGTATATTTTGTGTTTTGATTATTATATGGCGAGGGGATTTTTTCTTTTGATCCAGCCTATTTGGTGTTCTGTATGCTTCTTGAACCTTCATAGGTACATCTGCCTTCCGGTTGGGAAAGTTTTCTTCTAAATTTTATTAAGTATATTTTCTGAATCTTTGAGCTGCTCTTCTTCTCCTTCTTCTACTCCAATTATTCTTAGGTTTGGTTTTTTTTTATTGTGTCCCATATTTCCTGAACGTTTTGTGATGAGAGTTTGTTGGACTTGCTGTTTTCTTTGATCAGAGCGTTTATTTTCTCTATGTTATTCTCAGAATCTGAGATTCTTTCTTCTATCTCTTGTATTCTGCTGGTTATGCTTGATTCTGTAGTCTCTATTCGTTTACCTAGATTTTCCATGTCCAGCCGGCCCTCTGTTTGTGTTTTCTTCTTTGCCTCATTTCAGTTTTCAAGTCATGAACTGTTTCCTTTATCTGCTTGATTGTTTTTCCTTGGTTTCCTAGGGCATCATTCACTGATTTACTCAATTCCTCGAACTTTCTGTTATACTTCTCACCCATTTCTATACGGGCGTTTTTTATATGCTGTTTAAGGGTGTCAATCACTTTCATGAAGTCAGTTTTTTCTACTTCTTCTTGATTAAGGTGTTCATGTCCTCCTCTTGTGAGGTCACTTTCTTCTGGTGGTTTCGTGTTGTTTTTCAGATTGTTGGGAGAATTCCTGCATTGGCCCATCTCTTCCTCCCAATCCTCCCCTTTGGATCTTCTTTTACAGGATCAGGTCTTCTTGCCCACTGATGTACCTTCCCAGTGATGTCACTCCCCAGAGATGTTTCTCCACAATGATGTTTCACTTGGGGCCCAGATCGAAACTCCGCGCTGCTTGGTTAGCTCGCGAACAAAGGATCCACCCTGCTTGCAGGCTATGGGAACAAAGGAGCTACTGGCCACCCCTTTGTCCTCCCAGTTCGGGTTCGGTCCCAGCGCCCTAGCAGGCTGAGCAGGGAGGCACTATGCCGCCAAAGAAGGGAGTTAGGGAGGGAGACAGGGGGTGTGTGGATCTGGATGTAAGCTGAATGGGATAGGAAGAGAGAGGAGGTATGGGCAGTATAGCCCCTGTAGGATGGCCAGGAAGTGTGGGCGGGCTGAGGTATGTTCCCAGCTGCTGCAGCACTCACTCACCACAATGATATTTCACTTGGTGCCCAGATCGAAACTCCATGCTGCTTGGTTAGCTCGCGAACAAAGGGCCCACCCTGCTCGCTGTGGGCAGGCTATGGGAACAAAGGATCTACCGGCCACCCCTTTGTCCTCCAGGTTCGGGTTTGGTCCCAGCGCCCTAGCAGGCTGAGCAGGGAGGCACTATGCCGCCAAAGAAGGGAGGGAGGGAGGGAGACAGGGGGTGGGGGGATCTGGATGTAAGCTGAATAGGATAGGAAGAGAGAGGAGGTATGGGCAGTATAGCCCCTGTAGGATGGCCAGGAAGTGTGGGCGGGCTGAGGTATGTTCCCAGCTGCCGCAGCACTCACTCACCACAATGATGTTTCACTCAGTGCCCAGATCGAAACTCCGCGCTGCTTGGTTAGTTCGCTAACAAAGGGCCCACCCTGCTTGCTGCGGGCAGGCTATGGGAACAAAGGAGCTACCGGTCACCCCTTTGTCCTCCCGGTTCGGGTTCGGTCCCAGCGCCCTAGCAGGCTGAGCAGGGAGGCACTATGCCGCCAAAGAAAGGAGGGAGGGCTGAGATGGGATTTTTCACTGGCATCCACTGGCACACTTACTTAATGATCCGTACTTAATACTGTAGCCATCTCTGGGTTGGGGATTCTAGACTGTGCTCCAGCAAAGCCTGCATGATATGTGTCTCAGAAGGATATTGAATAAATGGCACAGAGGAGGGGGCAACTGCACACATGTGTCCTCCTGAGGATATAGATATTTGATTTTGAATTTGTTTCCCTTTTCTTCCTATCTCTTCTCATTTGGGCTTTGCCTTGCTCTCTTACTGATTCTGCCCTTGCTAAGGCTTGTCATCCATGAAACAGAGTTGAACAAAATACTGTCTAGTGTGTGTGTTGCATAGATGGGATTCATTTATTTTCAGAGGCTCCCAGGCTTTTTGTGACTTTGGAGGTGGGAATAGTGTTTGGGTTTTTCATGGACACAAGAGACAAAGTCAGACATACGTCATTGATTTGAATGGATTTTCCCTTGAATATCCCAGAGAAATGGGACGATTTGGTGATAAGAATGGCAGCCCACAGGGTTCATTCCTGGGCTGATAGGACACAAGTAGAGACGCCACTGATAGCGTTAAGGTACGAGGGTTATTCTGGCATTGTTTGGGAACAGTAAAGATGATTAGTCCTTTGGAACTAGGCCAGGGCACAATTCTGAAAATGATGACACTTCACTCTTGTTAGCTTTCTTTCTACAGGATACAAGCTAGAGTCATATGGCAGGAAGGGACATCAACTGAGGAATTGTCCCCACTGTACTGGCCTGTGGGCTTGTCTGTGGGGCAGTTTGTTGATTACAATTTTTGTGGGAGCTACTCGGGAGTCTTTGGGAATGTGGCTCTCCTGGTATCGGTTTATTAGCAGTTTTTCCTGTGTCTCTCCAGGGCCACCACCCCAGCCTTCCATCTGGGCAGTTCCAGGAGCTGTGGTTTCCAAAGGTAGTGATGTAACCATCTTCTGCAGGATCCCTCCAGGAGTGATCACTGTTCGTCTAGACCATATTGTTCCCAGAACTGTGTGGTATGATGGTACCCCACAGGGAGCCCAGGAGGTGTTTGAATTCAGTCTGAAGAATATAACACAGAGTAATGCTGGGCTTTACTTCTGTGAATACTTTAGGGGAAGTGAATGGTCACGAAGTAATGACAGTCTGGAGCTGGTGGTGACAGGTGAGTAACTGCCTAAAAACACTGTCCTTCAGGCTCACTCTCTGATCCAAACTAACTAACCATATATGCCCCATCCCAGGCCCACTCTGCATCTCTGCTCCAATATAGTGATCTATTCCCTCTTCTCTTCTCTCCTACCTCATTTTCTTTTTAATTTCCATTTTTCTTGACAACTTGACTTTCCTGAAAACTTGATTTTCAGTATTTTTTGAGACAAGTTCTCACATATTTCAGACTGTCCTTGAACTTACTGTGTAACCAGGCATAATCTTGAATTTATGATCTCTCTGCTTCTATTCTCCTAGTGCTGGTGTTGTTGACCTGATCAATGACACCATCCATATGCTGATAGACATAGAATATGGGTCACTGTGTATATTAGGTAAATTAGGCAAGAACTTGACCAACGAAGATTCAACCGAAGACCTTCTGCTTTGGTGTGTGACCCTCAGGCTGTCCTGACCATATTGCAGCCTCTCTTCTGAGTGGTGATTATATTGCCTAAGGGATGGAGTTAACAGAAACTGACAGGGGCTTTCTGTCTCTGTTGAGCCTTTCTGTGGTCCTGGTTCATGAAAAATAATACAAACATGTTCTGTGATTCCTATAGATTAGCAATAGATGAGTTTCCTCTTGTCTTCATCTTTCTTCTCTCTGTTCAGACTCTGAACTGTAGTCTCATTGTTAATCATGTCTTAAATAACAGAGATTTCCTGGCTGGTTTTGTGACAACTTGACACAAGCTAGAATCATTAGACAGGAAGGAACCTCAGTTGAGGAAATGCCTTCATGAAATCCAGCTGTAAGGCATTTTCTCAAGTTGTGATCTACAGCAGAGGGCCAACCCACTGTGGGTGGTGCTATGGCTGGGCTGCTGGTCCTCAGTTCTGTAAGAAAACAGGCTGAGCAAGCCAGGGGAAGTCAGTTAGCAGCACTTGTCCATGGCTTCTGCATCAGGTCGCACCTCTAGCATCCTACTCTGCTTGTGTTCCTGTCCTGACTACCTTTAGTGATAAATAGCAATGCTGAAGTGTAAGCCAAAGAAACCCTTTCTTTCCCAACTTGCATTCTGGTCATGTTGTTTCATAGCAACAATAAAAGCCCTAAGTAAGAAAAGTTTTTTTTTTTTTCCTTTTGAGACAAGGTCCTACCTGTTTCAAACTCTGGCTGCCTTTGAAACTTCAGTATCGAGCAGAGTGTTTTTATTTTATTTTATTTCATTCTATTTTATTTATTTATTTTGGCCCGGTCCCTTATTTATTTATTTATTTTGAAACAAAAAGATTTTTTTTTTGGTTTCTGTAAGAAGCTGTATTTACTTGGCACACTTGTATTTACACACACGCATTTATAGTTTAAGTATTAAAATAATGTCATTCAACAAAAGCCAGGCAATTAGCAATAGAACAGAAGTTTGATTAAAAACTGGGATTAATAAGCATGTATACAAAAATAATAAAAGCAAAAAAATATTTTTAAAAACAGGGTTTCTTTGTGCAGCACTCTTGGCTGGCCTGGAACTTACTGTAGACCAGGCTGATCTAGAACTCAGAGATCCACCTGCCTTTACTTCCTGAGTGCTGGGATTAAAGGGGTGCACCACCACTGCCCGGCTGCAAAAAACTTCTTAGTCTTATAAATAAATCACGAAACAAAAAGATTTAATTCGATGCTCTACAGGAGAGACAGAGATGCTAATTGCCCACCTGAAGGGCAAGGTTAGTTTTTTTTCTCTAATAATATTTTTAATACTTTATAAAAAATACCATTCAAAATTTCCACTTCCTCCCTCCCACATCCCTCACACTCCCTCACTCCTTCTTTCCCCTCCTCCTCCAGTCCTAAGAGAGGGCAGGGTTCCCTGTCCTGTGGGAAGTCCAAGGCCCTCCCCCTTCCATTCAGGCTTAGGGAGGTGTGTTTCCAAATAGAACAGGATCCCCAAAAACCCAATACATGCATTAGAGACAAATCCCAGTGCTATTATCATTGGCTTTTCAGTCTGCCCCAATTGTCAGCCACATTCAGAGGGTCCAGTTTGATCCCATGCTCGTTCAGTCTCATTCCAGCTGGATTTGGTGAGTTCTCATTAGATCAGGCACACTGTCTCAATGGGTGGACCAACCCCACATGGTTCTGACTTCTTTGCTCATCTTCTCCCTCCTTCTGCTCTTCAATTGGCCCTTGGGAGCTCAGTCCAGTGCTCTGATGTGGGTCTTTGTCTCTATCTCCATCTTTCACCAGAGGAAGGTTCTATGGTAATATTCAAGATAGTCCTTAGCTTGACTACAGGACAAGGCCATTTCAGGCACCCTCTCCTCCACTGCCCAGGCTCCTAGCTGGAGAAATCCCCATGGACACCTGGGAGCCCCTCTAGAGTTAAGCCTCTTGCCAACCCCACAATGCCCCCCTTAATTAAGATATCATCTTCCCTGCTCCCATTCTTCCTCCATCTTAATCATCCCACTCCCCCAAGCTCTCCCCAACCCTTCCCTTCTCCCTTTTTCTTCCCCTCTGCCATTCCCCCCAACACACTCCCACCCCTATGCTCCCAACTTTTGCCTGGTTATCTTGTCTGCTTCCAATTTCCAGGAGGATCTATATATGCTTTTCTTTGGGTTCACCTTATTAGCTTTTCTAGGATCACGAACTATAGGCTCAATGTCCTTTGTTTATGGCTAGAATCCACTAATAAGTGAGTACATACCATATTCATTTTTTTGGGTCTGGGTTATCTCAGTATAGCGTTTTCTATTTCCATCCATTTGCATGCAAAATTCAAGATGTCATTGTTTTTTACCGCTGTGTAGTTCTCTAATATGTAGATGTGCCACACTTTCTTCATCCATTCTTCCATTGAAGGGCATCTAGGTTGTTTCCAGGTTCTGGTTATTACAAATAATGCTGCTATGAACATAGTTGAACAGATGCTTTTGTAGTATGATTGGGCATCTCTTGGGTATATTCCCAAGAGTGGTGTTGCTGGATCCCGAGGTAGGTTGACTCCCAGTTTTCTGAGAAACCACTACACTGATTTCCAAAGTGGTTGCACAAGTTTCATTCCCACCAGCAATGGATGAGTGTTCCTCTTACTCCACAACCTCTTCAGCATAGGCTATCATTGGTGCTTTTGATTTTAGCCATTCTGACAGGTGTAAGGTGGTATCTCAAAGTTGTTTTGATTCGCATTTTCCTGATAGATAAGGAAGCTGAACATGTCCTTAAGTATCCTTTGGCCATTTGAAGTACTTCTGTTGAGATATCTCTGTTCAGTTCAGTACCCCATTTTTTAAAAAGAAATATTTATTTTATTCCATAACATAGATAAAACATTCCACACTCAGGACATTTGATTCTATATGGGAATACTCAGTATGACTACATCATAGTCAGTACATGCTTACTGTGTTTGTACCAGCTGCCCTTTAGTCTGAGGAGAACATAAAATTGAAATAAGTATTGTCCCTTATTTACACATCTTTTCAGAGCTTATGGATTTGGAGAAGTAAGATATTCATAGATAGCTGTGTAAAGCTTGTAAGTTTGCATATTTCATAGACTAGACACTTAAACCACAGTTAAGGTGAAAGGTACAATCCTACAATTCCCCAATGCACAATTTTAGTGCAATTCTTTCTACCAATTTCATCTTTTTAAACTTTCTGCCCACAAATCCAAACACTTGTTTGTGTAATTTCTCTCTTGATTTGATACAAAATAGCACCATTTCAAATTTATGAGGATCTGGAGATTAGAAACATCACTCAGTAGCTTAATTTAGCTGTGCATTTTCACAGGTGTGGGATCCTTGGCTTTAGGTTTGATAGGCAAACAACCTGCATCCGGGTTACCTCCTAAGCTAAGAGTTGCTTATTTTGTTTTATGTTTTAGTAGTAAATGAAATGATTGAGAATGTGCACTTGTTTTAAAAGATTCAGGACCATTACCCTAAGAAGTACTAGGAAAGACAAGACACAGTGCACCTGATTTTACTTACGCATCCTGCTGAACTCTTCCATTCCTTATAGGAGGAAAGGAGACAAATATAGAAGAAGGAAGCTGCAGACTCAAGTCATTTTGTTTACAGAGAAAAGAATGAATTTTATATTGTATTATTGCAATCCTTCATTTGCAGATACTCAAAAACTTGTGATGAGTAGCATTAATTTGTTTTGTTTTATCCTTGTACAATAAACACAATTTATCCAAAGAAACTTAGAAGATAAAATACAACTTTATTGTTAATGTTACATAATACCATATCTTAGTTTTATTTTGTGTCTTATTTTGACAAGAGTGATTCTTAAATAATTCTGAAGTACAGATAAAATTATAACCTGGGGCTTTGGAAATATTTCAGTGGTTAAAGAACTTGTGGGAGGACCAGAGTTCAGGTCTCCAGACCCCACACAAATTCTGGGTGTTTGTCACCTCCCACTGGATGGTGGTGATATAAGGTAGAAAGGAATCTCCCAAGTATGTTTGCCTGCAATCTAGGTGGAAATGCCATGGTATATGATTAACTTAGAGTTCCCAATTCAATGAATAAGGTGACCACTAAAACAGAAAGATGCCCAAATCTACAGTTCTTTCTAGGCATTCCACTCTAATCTGCACTCACATACATGTAAACTGAATACACGTACGCATGTACATGAGAAGAGTAATATGATAGTATGCACACACAGAGTTGATTTAAGTAAAATGCTCCAATAACATGGGCACTCCTCTGCACAGTGTTCTTCCATAATATAAAAAGGAGCCTGAGTGCACTGTTTTACTGATATGTGAGAGAGTTGAGGAAAGAATT